TAGCAGTCGTTGGCAATGAGTTGCAGCAAATGAAAGGCTTCGGCGGAGTTGTCTCTCTTGAGGTAGAGTTCCCACGCCTGGCGCGGCTTCTTATTCATTATGACTGCCGAAGAAGAGTCAGAATCTCTGTCAACTCAGGGATAGTGTACTTACGGCAGCGCGCGAGCCAACTGACGTACACGTAGTCGTTGGTGAGGCGCTCCTGACGCACGAGAAGCAGTACTTCTTCGGCCTCCCGGAAGTTGGCGGTCGCGGCCTTCGCCTGTCCGAAGTTGAAGTTGAAAGTGTCGTCGTTATAGAAGTAGCTCTTGATTGAACTCAAGTACAGCAACACGTCGTCGAACTGCTTCAGAATGAAGAAACACGAGGCCATACACTGTCGCCCGGGAATTGTGTCGCACTCGGAGGCGCTGCTCGGGAGACAACATCTCGGCTCAGAAGGGGTCGCCACGAGTGCGCACGCCTTACCTGCCGCCCACCATCTGGAAGTACTGCTGCGCCATCTTGAGGTGTTCGCGCGATCCCTGCGTCTGTCCGACGGCCGCGTTCACGACTCCCGTCAAGACGTACTCGTGAGGAAGCGACGGATCCAAGTCTTTGATGAGACGATTCGCTTCTGAGACGTTGTCTGCGAGTAAACGATGAGAGAGATGGACAGACGGCGCGACGCTTCTTACCGTTCTTGAGGTGGTAGATGACCAGGTTCAGTTTGGCTTCGGGCAGGACGTCGACGAGAGGCGGCAGCACTTGAAGGGCGCCTTCGCCGCCGCGAAAGACGACCAGATTGTGGCGAATGAGGTCCTGCGCGTACGTGAATGCGGGCGGAATGGCGTCAATGAGGTTCCGAAGCTCTTGCTGTAGAGGGAAGAGAAGTTGAGTTCCGGAACCGGAAGTTCTGTTCTCTCTCTCAAACCTCAGCCGCCTTTCCGTTGTAGAGTCGGTAGTGATTGCAAGCCTTGAGATTGGTTGCCGTCGCGCTCTCCGGGAACTGTTGGAAGAAAATAAGATTCAAATAAGAGAAACCAATGAAAAGAGGACTCAATTGTTGCGCGTAGAGTTGCAGCACTTCTTGAGAGACGTCATAGTAATCGAGCTGTGAATGCAAACAACGGTTAGAATAAAAGACTTCTGAATGGATTCTCGCCTTATAATAGGAGAGCGCGATGTAGACGTTGAGAGCGACGAAATGGCGGCTCTCGAGCAGAAGCT